TTCAGCACCTGGTCCAATTCAACCTCACAGTAACCCTCCAAGGTCACCTGACAGGTAGCGTGGTCGACTCAGGAAGCCACGTTAATGAGGCCTTTGGTCCAGATGGTCCTCAGCACCGTGAGTGTGCTTCCTTCCTGAGAGTACTTGCTGAGTTCTCTAGCTCGTAAGGGACAGGAGCTGGGTCACACCTGGACACCTCGGGCGGGGCTCCCCCCACCCGCGTGTCCTGGGCCAGCAAACTGTGGGGGGACAGACCCCGAATTCAGACCCGTCTTCCTTCTCCCGTTATGCCAGGAGAGGTCTGGTAAACAAGTTCAGGCTGGTCTGGAAAGGCTATTCCTGTTTATCCGACTTGGCAGGCATCGAATATCAACTACCCCCCCACCCCAGATGTCTGACACCGATGCTCCAGTCTCTTGGGTGGAGGGAGAGGCTGATGGGAGCAGATGGTGGGTGCGGGCTCTGGCCCCACCCTTGCCCCTTCCTGCCTCAGCCTGGGGACCCCGAGCCCCCAGCCTACCTGATCTGGTAGCAACCTCCCCTTGGTCAGTGGGATGCTCATCCCAGCCCCGCCCACCTGCATCCCCCAGCACTGCTGCACTTTCTGCGTGTTCGGGTCTCCATGGTCCTGCCTCCCTGCCCCCCCGGCCCATCCAGCCAAGCTGCGTCCCTGCTGCCTCGCTGAGGAGACGGCAAGCGCCCAGGGGCAGCCCAAGGGTGGCAGCAGGAGCTTCACTTGCTGAAAATTCATCAAACTGAACATTCTATGCATCCAGAAGAACCTATATAATACGTGATTAAGAACAGCAACTAAGACAAACACACGTGGATCCCACCACCTAGTTTAAGAAGTGCGCTTGGGCTTCCCTGGTGGCGCAGTGGTTGAGAGTCTGCCTGCCGATGCAGGGGACACGGGTTCGTGGCCCGGTCCGGGAAGATCCCACATGCCGCGGAGCGGCTGGGCCCATGAGCCATGGCCGCTGGGCCTGCGCGTCTGGAGCCTGTGCTCCGCAACGGGAGAGGCCACAACAGTGACAGGCCCGTGTACCGCAAAAAAAAAAAAGAAGTGTGCTTTTTCACACTCCGGATGGACAGAGGCAGCTTTCAGATCCAGGGTGGGATTCTGAGCTGGCCGGGCCATCGCCGGTGCCCGCTGGTGTCTCCCCATCACCTCTCCTGCCCACTCCGCCCGGCCTCCGGGGCTATTCTGGTTGTGTACCCATTGGGGTTAATCTCCTTAAGCAAGGAGCCATGCCGCCCAGTGCACACGGCAAAGGGCAATGGGACCTGCTGGTACTTCTGGGCTCTTCCGCTTTCCCGTCGCTGCGGGGAGACCGCGGATGCTGGGCCGGGAGCTGAGGCTGTGGGGGCAGGGGCCACAGGGAGCTCAGAGGCTTTTGGGGCCCAGCAGCTACTGGCTCGTGGAGGTTCTCGAGTTTTCCCCGAGGGAGAACCCAGAAGGGCGTCCTCCACCCCGGCTGAGCTGCCCTTGCTCCTGCCTGGGCGCAGGTGCTAATCCCAGCCCCCGGCAGGCCAGGGAGGAGGATGGAGAGGCAGGCGGGAGGCCTTCTTTCCCACTTGGGAAGGAAAGAGAACACACGGCTGACCCGCTAGGATCCGGTTCCTGAAACCTGAGCCACGACGACGGTTTCACTGAACCCTTGGCTACACACCTGCCAGGGCCGTCTTCCACCTGGGCGGGAGGACCGGGATGGCACACACTGGCCGAGGGCTCTGCCTCTTTACGGGGAGGGGGGGGAGCCAAGGGTCAGCTCTGTCAAGCCCACCCTGACCCCCTGCTCACCAGGCCGAGCTAGCACGTGTTCCCCAGAACCACACCAGCTGCACAAGAAAGCAGACTCAGCAACAATGTGACGGGAGGACAGGATGGGTCGGGACGGGGTTGGCACAAGCGGCGTTGGAGGCCTCAGATCAGGCAAGGTGCCTGACACTGCCAGGGGCAGGGAAAGTCAGAGAAGACTCCCTGGAGGAAGTGGTACCTGAGACCCAAGGACAGATAGGAGCTGACCTGGAGGAAGCAGGGGGTGGGGAAGAAGCAGAGCGAGGTCCCTTCCACAGCGAGACCCACCCAGTCTGCATATGAACCTTGGGGACCCCGCCCCAGGAAGAGCCAGAGTTTAGCACCCACACTGGGCCCGCCTTCCACTCTTGTCTCTACGTATTAAATACAAAATCCACACTGGGCCCGCCTTCCACTCTTGGTCTCTATGTATTAAATACAAAACCCACACTGGGCCCGCCTTCCACTCTTGGTCTCTATGTATTAAATACAAAAACAAACAGCATTTTACTATGGAAGATCTGAAACATAGACACAGAAGTAGAGAGATGAGTATAATGGCACAGTGCGGACTCACCACCAGCTTCAACACGTCAGCAACTGTCTACCAGCGGACGGTCTCACGTCATCTATACCCTGCCCACTCCCCCCGGCTGCAGTACTTTAAAGCAAATTCCCTAATCCTAGCAGGTTTTTTCCCATAAGTGTTTTAGTGTCCGCACCTAAAAGATAAGGATCCTTTAACAAGTATGCCCACGGGCTTCCCTGGTGGCGCAGTGGTTAAGAATCCGCTTGCCAATACAGGGGACACGGGTTCAAGCCCTGGTCCGGGAAGAGCCCACATGCTGTGCAGCAACTAAGCCCGTGGGCCACAACAACTGAGCCTGCGCTCTAGAGCCCTCAAGCCACAACTACTGAGCCCACGTGCCGCAACTACTGAAGCCTGCACGCCTAGAGCCTGTGCTCCGCAACAGGAGAAGCCACAACAATGAGAAGCCCAAGGATCGCAACGAACAGTAGCCCCCACTCGCCGCAACTAGAGAAAGCCCGCGTGCAGCAACGAAGACCCAACGCAGCCAAAATAAATAAATTAATTAAATAAATACAAAAAAAGACAAAAGTGCGCCCATAGCACCGTCATCAAGTCAGGCGACGCCGGCTCCTTACTCTCTGCTTAGAGGCAGCTCCGGCACCGCCCTCCCAGCCCCATGGCTCCTGGGCTTCTTGACCCAGAGAGCCGACACGCTGGAGCTGCAGTTTTGCCTTCGAACCAGCCTGATGGAGTCGATGAAGTCGATGAGGTGGATGCTCCAGCCTCACTGTGGGGATGAGGCGACCAAGGCAGGTCACAGTGCGGGACTCTGGTCCTCAGACCACGTGTTTCAAAGCAGAGTTCGTACCAGGCTCGAGTTTTGCTAAGGGTGCTGACGAAGCCGCGTCCCCGGGTTTGTGCCCCCTCCCCAGGTGACACAGGTGACTCTGCCCACGGCCCGGGAGCCACCGAGCCGCATGGGCCCCCGGCCTGGGGGAGGAAGCGGTGTGGGGTGTGGAGGACCGACAGCCTCTCTCCAAGGGAAAAGGCCTAGGGGTGCCTTCCCCACAGGCGTCATGTGTCCCCTGACTCGGGCTCTGCCTGCGAGACAAGTGTCCACCTGGTGCTAACCGGCCGGCTGGGAAGGAGGCCTGTGAGGGTGAGCCCCTCACATGCTCTGCGGCCTGAACGCCTTGCTTTGAGATCAGGAGTGTTTCCTGCTTGTGTTTCACCTCCGGGGACCTTCGCAGCTGCGGGCTCAGAGCCTGGGGACTGGGTGCCAGGGGTCCAGTGGGGCATTGACAGAGGTGCCAGCCCCCGGGGAGCGTCTTGCTTCCTTCCGTGTGTCCCAACAGCAAGTCCCCGCATCCTCTCATTTCCCATCGAGGTGGTAGTATCTACCCAGCGTGTCAGAGCTGCACCTGGACCTTGCCCACAGGATAATAAACGATAACTGACCTAAAACGCTACCGCTATGTTAGCTCCCGGTGCACGGCTTAGTGATTTGACATTTCTGTGTGTCACGAAACGACCCCTCCCCTACCAGGGTTCTGGCAAAGCTTTAAACACAGGCCGGGTGGCAGGGGCAGGCCGGGCGCCAGCCCCCCACTTGCCCCAGCCTGCCCCTCTGCTGTTGCTTCCCAACCTCGAGGGGCCACGCGTGCCCACTGGCGGGCACTGCGGCTAGTGTCCCCGCCGGACGCCTCGCAGGAGTTTCAGGTGATGGCGCACAGGGAGGTGGCCGGCGAGGTCCAGGCGGGGGGGGTGGGGAGGCGGCACACAGCAGAGCAGTCTCCCCAGCAGACACTCCTGACCTGGAGGAAGTGTGTCTGTGGAGTCGTCCTCTGGCCGAGGCCAGGCTCCTTTGTCCCAAGAAAACCCACATATGAGCGCACGGCAGAAACCCGGGAAAACCCAGAAAGCCGCTTTGCTTAAGCCCATCCTAGATGTGCGCAGACGCTTCCCCAGCGGTCACCCCTGCCCCTCCTCTGTCCCCTCCTGGTGGCAAAACACCTGGTGGCTGGGAAAGAGCTTCATCCCCCAGCCAAGGGGCCTTACCCCCAAAAGGGGGGCTGCTCCCTCAAGAGGCTCCTCCAGAAAGTGCACACCCCACCTCCCCTGGGAATGAGACGGACGGAAGCTGTGGGTGAAGGTGCAGACCTTGGCCTGTCTCCACTGCCCTGGGAAGCCCATCTGACCAGCTGCCTCACACAGTCCACATGCCACGAGATGCCCAGAGGCCTTGAAAGCGAGCTGTTCTCCACAAGGACTGGACTGCAAGCCCAGTCTCCCTTCCTGCCAGGAGGGTGGGATGAATGGGAAGGAAAAAAGCCAGGTGTGGGCGTCCGGGTGGAGTCAACCCGACAGTGACCACCCCAAGGGCGTCCCCTCCAGCTCCCAAGTTGCTAGCAGCCTCGCGTGATACGTGGGTGCAGGTCCCCCCAACACATCCGACCTCTGCTTCATGAGACAGCAAATAGGGGTAAGGGGCTCACACGGCCAGTTCAGAGGATGACAATCGGTTCTGAAACATTAAATCCTTTGCCAGCGAGAACTCTTCTTCTAAGGAAAGAGCATCCTCATCGCGGCGTCGGGGTCTCCCCCCTCCCCCTCCCTCCCCCTCCCCCCCTTCTCCCTTCCCCCTCCCCCGCCCCCCGCCCCACTCACATCCATGGACCTCTCCCTCTGGATAAGTTTCTTGGTCTCCTTTTCACAGAAGTTGAGCATGGCTTCCCGGTTGTACACGCCCGTGGACGACTTCTCCGTCTGGTTCCTCTGGCGCAGCCCCACGGGGACGCTCCCATCTGGGTCCACCACGTCCAGCTCCTTCTCCAGCTCCGCCATCTCCTCAGGAGACAGGGTGGACAGCAGGCTGTCGATGTCGGGGTCCTCGCTCACCTGCCGGCGATACTTGGCTACCTTGGACATCTTGGCAAAGTGGGCTGCTGCTCTCGTGAGGGCTGCGGGGAGGTCCTGGTGGGCCGGGACGGGGTGCGAGCCGATCTGGACAGAGCAGACCCCCAGCTGGTCGAGGACCTCGGCTCCCCTGCCCTGCCTGCTGCAGGTGCCCAAGTGTGAACGGGGGGCAGCAGCCTCCCCAGTCCCAGGGCTAGTGGACCCGGGCTGGTCCAGCCAGCAGCCAATAAGGCCCCATGACGGCCCGGCCCTGAAAGGAAAGGCCAATCCCCGGGCGGGGGCGGGCCTGCCTCGCTGTCAGAGCTGTTTGAAACTTGAGGACATTCCAGGGAATCTTGGAGCGCTGTGTGACCAAATTTAGCACAGAGCATTTAGCCTTTTAAAGACAAGGGGGCCACGCAATGAGAAAAAGATATAATACAAAAATGCAGAGGCTGGCAGAAGCAGGCGAGAGCCATGGAGAGCCAGAAATGCAAGCAGACAGGACGCGGGCTTCACGAGCGGCCAGCCCCAGGCCTGCCCTGTTCAAGTGCACACGTGACGCCTCCACCCGGGGTGGACGGTGCTGTGGTCAGCACGTGCTCCACTGACTCCTTTCTACTGTATTTGGTAGTGTGCTGGGGACTCCCCAGTGTCTACAACCCCAGGAAGGAACTCGATTCCAGAAGCCCCGAGCCACACGCCCGTTCTCTCCTGCTGAGGAGGGCCCAGCATCACAGGCCCCCGCCTGCCGTGGCCACTTCTTGCGAGACAGAGAGAGAGAGAGAGACAGAAAGAAAGAGGGAGAGAGAGAGAGAGAGAGATGGAAAATAAATCCTCACTGTGTTCCTAGACTGAAAACTGGCAGGCTGTTTGGGCAAGAAAGTGTGAGGTGCAGTAGGTCAGGGAACTCTGACAGGTATGTCCTCCTCCACGAGCTCTTGGGAAGAGGGTTCCCACCTCCCTCCGTCCCGTCGGCTCCTTCCTCTGCCGGGGCACCTCCCGTGGGGGCATCAGGAGGGGCAGCAGGACCCCACCATGTGTAAATCCGGGGAAATATAACTGGGCTGTTGGGAGAGACCCTATTGCAATGGGTCTGGCAGGTTTCGTGAAAGGGCTTTCACTGCTCATCCCTCCCGCTGCCCTGCACAAGGCGCAGGGACATTCAATCTCCTGCCACAAAATCCCTCTAGAAGCCCTGCTGTAACCCACTGCGTAGCGCCTCCGATCTTTCCTGGCGTCGGTCCACCCTAAGCCAGAGAGAGGCAGTCACCCATCGGCACTTGCTGACGCCAGGGATGGTCTGGGAGAAAAACTTGGCCCTGGCGTTGACCGCCGGCTGGTCCCGCTTCAGGAGGAGCTGGGGCCGGCTGGTGGGACTGGAGGGCAGAGGCGAGCAGGCGGCCCGAGGGGAAGCGGGAGGAGGGGCTTGGGGGCTCCTGGGGCTGTTTCTCTCCAGAGGCGGGGCGTCTGTGGGCGAGTCGTGAGCAGGTACTGATGAATACGGACCACGTGGCAGGCACCGGCCCGAGAGCAGGGGATGAAGCTAAAGGATAGAAAATCCATGTGGTCCCCGCCTTCCTGGAGCTTACAGTCCCCCAGTGAAGACAGTTAATAAACAAGTAACTTCGAACAGTTTATGAAAAGAAAAAGAAGAGTTTACAAAATGCCTCAAAAGAGCAGTGCAGGGGCCGCGGGGAGCACAACAGGGAGGCTGGTTTCACGGCTCAAGCTCGGGCTCCCCGGGCGGCCGACCTGCTTAGGTCCTGGGCTCCCTGCTCAGCCCAGCCACCTCCTTCTCTGAGAGCCAGCTTCATCACCTATAAAACAAGGACAGCGCTGGTGCCAGGCTCGGAGAATGGCTGTGAGCGTTACACGTGAGCCACGCGGTCGATACGCCTGACGGGCCGTGGGCACACGGTCACTGTCTGTAGGCGCCATCACTCATGTCTTCTCCCGGCCCAGGTTCTGTTCTCCACGCCCCACCTCCTCGCTCACCTTTGTCTTTCCGTCCTTCAGCAGAGGCCACGTGCAGCACACACGCGTGTGTGTGCACACTCATCTCCTCACCTCGCTCTCATCATTCACTCATTCGTTCACTCAAGGGCGCTGTGTTTATATCCCACCCGGCCAGGCGCTATAGGGAGAGAGACGCAAGAATAATTACAGTGCGGTCATTCTCTTTTAAATGTGTCATCTATCGAGGTAGAAAGCCGCACGTACTAGGAGGCAAGGCGAACCAGGAGAGCAAGAAGCAACTGCTTCGGGCCCGAGGGAGACACGCTAACCCCGTGGGGAGGGTCAGGTGGCCCCCAGCGGGCACGCCGAGGCCTTGGGCTGGCCTGGGGCTCCAGGGCGTGTGGACAGAACTGTCTCCCCCCAGGCCCTCACGTCTGTCGGCCTCTGCTCTCACTTCCGCCCAGAAGAGGCCTGATCTCTGGGGCCGCCCCAGCCAACCTCTCGATGCCACCAGCTGAAAGCAGCTCTTTCCAGCCCCCGGCGACCGAGTCACTCAGCCCCGGGCCACCTGGTTTCGGCAGCCAGCCTCCTCCCACTGGTTCTAAACTCCGAAAACAACGCCAGAGCTTCCACACTTCCAGGCAGGACTCCCGGCCTCCCGACCAAAGGTTTCTGCCCAGAAGCCCAGCAGGTTCTCTGCTTCGGTCCCACGATGCCAAACAGCTGGCTCTCCTGGTGTGACTCGGTCCAAGGCCTTTTGCTCCTAGAACCTGGGTTCCGGGCGTGGCCCGCAGACCCTGAAAGCCCAAAGGCATCACCTGTGGGGCCGGAGGACTTGGGCCCCTGCGGCGAGGGACCATCGCCCCACGCACTCTCCAGGGGCAATGGTTATCCAAGCTCAGAATCCACTTCCACCCAAAACAAATTCACCTTGAGTATCGGGATTATGGGATGGCCTCGTCCCCAGAGAAAACCCAGCATTGCTGTACTAGACGGAAGGGAAAGGGACCCCAAACTCTGGCCAGAACCTGTGTACGTGTCGGGGGACAGGGACCAGAAGCAATTCACTAACGCTTAGGGTGGCTCTCAGCGGGCCGAGTGGCCCCAGGAAAGTCACATTTTCAGGAATACAGGGTGTTAGCATAGTGTAGCATATAAGGCCACGGGCTCAGGAGTCGAATGACGTGGGCTCAAATCTGAGATGTGTGACTTTGTGTCAGCTGTTTAACCTCTCTGAGCTGCAGGAAATGGAAAACGAGAATCTTAAAAGCACCTTGAGAAAAAAACATACTGCGCAGGGTTACGAAGGTATTAAACATATCAAACAAGGTGACGCGCACAGAGCGTGCGGCAGAGCGTCAGACGCTGTGAGCACTCAGTGTTCATGCTCAGTATACGGCCACACCGGCTTTCTCCTTTTCAGGGAGCCTGGAGGTCTCTCTGGAGTAGCAGACTTTGTCTCTGAAGCAAGCCGCCGGCCTGGCCCCGCGCGCCTGGGATGGGCAGAAGCGGCCAGAGGAGAGCTCGGAGACAGACCACAGGCCGGACACGTCTTCCTGCAAGGAGGGCAGGGGGAGGAACGAGGGCAGAAGAGAGGCAAGAGACTGCCTCCTCTCCCCACCCACGGCGCCCCAGCCCGGCTAAAACCCCAAACAGGCCCCAGTCACACACTGGAACCCCAGACCCAGAGCTGGCTGTGGTACCAGCCTCACTTGTCCACGGCAATCTGACGGGCCAGGTGGGGCTGGGGGTCTGGAGCCACGTACATGGCCTGTGACCTACTGCTCCTGTGTGGAGCTCTTGAGGTCCCCAAACCTCTGGCTCAATGCAGCCCAGCCCACTGGGGGCCAGGACCCCCTAAGTGGCAGGCGCGTTCTGAAAACGTCCACCCCTCTCCGAGGGTGCGGTCTGGGTGGAGAGAAGGGTTCCTCCCTCGCGCCCCTCACCCAAGCTGCTTCCAGCCTGTTCTTCACCCGGTGAGCTCACCGTCTACCGAAAAGACAGCATCCTTCTGGAAGGAACTCCCTCAGCTACTTGAATAAAGTAGAGAAAACTTTAATACATCATTATTACCTGGAAGGTAGACAGTCTGCTCCAGGGAGGGGAGGGAGAGAGCTGTCCCTTCACTATGCTGCAGCATAAATACACCTGCTCCAGAGGAAGTCATGTCTGGAGCTGTCCCAGGCGACCTCCTTACAGCAACGCTCTCGGACAGAGGTGAGCTTCTGACGCTCGGATGTGTAGAAACGGGAGAGGTCTGTGGAGGACTGTCTCCCAACACACAGCAGACCCTCCCTCTGGCTCACACCACCTCCACGGCCGGGAACTTGATCCCCTGAGAAAGCCTCGTTCTCCCGCTTCTCGAGTTTCCTACCCTCCCAGTGGGACCAGCAGCCCACCTGGTGACAACGCTGAGTCCCTCGTGCTCCTGCGCCTTGTCGCTGGCATCCCCTCTCCCTCCGACCCCCCTCACCCGGCAGAGTCCTCCCAATCTTCAGGCTCCAGCTCGACTGCTCTTCCCCCAGGACCCTTTTGCAAGCACACGCCAGCCGCCAGGGCTCTCTCCCCTCCGGATGCCTCTAGCATTTGGCGCATTCTCTCTCCCCTCCGGATGCCTCTAGCATTTAGCACATTCTCCGTCACATGCTGGCATTTTATAATTTTGACCCGACAGCTATTTCTCAAGTGCTTATTCTTTCTCTCCAAGTACTTTTGAAGACCCCGAGGGGAGGAACCACATGGATACTTTTAGTATTCTCTCCACCCCAGTGCTTACACTAAGGCAACTCTGAGCACAGGGGAAGGGGCTTACAGTTGATTTGGGATTACCAATCCCTCTTGTTACTTTCTCGGTTCAGCACAACCTTTGTACCCTTAATATCATCAAATGGCCCTGTCCCCAACCCTAGCCTCTGAAAGCGGTCCTTCCCCAAGAAAAAAGACAAGTTCTACTTGTCCAAGAGCAGAAGACGAAGGAAAGCTCATTGTGGGGTGAGGGACGGACGGGGTGGGCAAGAGGCATCAGAGTCACTGCTGGACCCGCCACCTCACATCCCTCCACGTGGTTTCTGAGGGAGGATCTTCCTTCCTTCACTTTGTTCGGTTGGGGAAATCTCATAGCAAAACGGGCCCCTTTCAGTTCACACAGGGAGCTGTTTTCCCCAAAGCAACACCCGGAGGACCTGGGTTGCAGGGTTCCAGCGCAGCCTCACACTGGGCCCAGCACACCGACTTTCACCAAACGTGCCCAGGGGTGTTCGGTCACCATCTCAGACTCCCGTCCCCTTCAGGCCAGGTCCCTCTCAAGGACCCCACTCCTTTCCTCTGTCGGTCTTGACGTCATTCCTTCGTGTCACTGACCGTTCAGCTCTGCAGACGTCTTGAAGACTCACTACGCTCTTTTCTTCCAAGATGGATAGGGATATTTTCCGGGGGTGTGGGGGGCACGGGGGCAGCTTCCTTCTCTAGCCAAAGGCCAAGCCCTAGGCCTTGCTCAGGCCCAACTGTCTGCTCCACCCTGTTATCTGCTGCAGTTACAGAAAACAGAAGGTGAGAAGTCCAAGAATGCTTGCTGGCCACGTGAGCAGTGCCCTCCAAAATGGAAGGCTGCTCCAGGAGAGGGACTGTTGGGATGAAGTGAGCTGGGTAACCACAGCCTAGAGTCTGGCCCTGACTCAGCTTTGCAAACTCGGCAACTTGGTATGATCACCGTTCCTGGTGACTGCTTTGATTCAAGGGAACCAACCTCACAAGAGGTGAATGCATAAACCAATATAAACGCCGAGTGGACAGGAATAGTTATGAGCATTCTCTCTTAAAGGAAAATCCATTCAGAAACCGAATAACAATCAGAAGACTGCATAATGAATATGGAACAGGAGCTAAGGGATATCTCCTCTGGGTCCTGGTGAGACCAGAACCTCATGAGAACGCAAATCTCTAGTTACTGAAATACTTATGCCCGCTAGGACCCTTGCTGCCTGGTGACTCTTTCCAGGTCCCTGGTTGCCCGTCTCCCACGTTCTCTTCAGGCTGTCAGTTAATTAGATTGATGCGCTCTTAATCACAGTCACATTCCAAATAAGCCCTCTTGGACTTAGGCATCCAAATCACAGGACTGGTTTGAACTGTTCTTTTCAGTATGAGACACATTTTACTGACAGTCTTCATTTGGTTCTACGGAGGGTTCAGTTTATTTGCTCACCTTATTTCCAAGATTTTGGAGGGAACGTCACTCTTCCTTGCAGTTTCCTATTATTTATTACACTCACTTTCCCAGGAAAAAAATACATACAAGTTTTAAAGTCAACCTCAAGAGCGCAGGGTGGGGAAGAGGTCCCGTAGCAGCTGTCACATGACAGGTTTTGCCGGCTGCAAGCTCAAAGGGCCCGGGGTCCCCAGCCTTCTGCTACCTCTTCTCTGAGCTAAACACCCCTCACTCTCCCGGTGATCATTTGGAGTGAGGTCTGAAAGAGGCTTCGTTGTCGCTGTCCCTCACGTCGAGGGCCCCCACGGGACACGAAGCTCCAGATGTTCACAAACATTTATGGAACATCCACTACGGTCCGGCCCCGAGACTCTAAAGGACTCGGGCACTGCCCGCCCTAAAGAAGCTGCGGGTAGTCGGTGGGGCTTCACCAACTCTGACGAAGTAGGCAGCATTTAATCCACACTTGACAGCCAGGTACTAGAACAAAGAAACGTGTTCGGGAGTTCTGGGAACCCTAGCGGAGCAACACCAGGTTTGTCTTCGGCCGCGCCCCGCGGCTTCAGTAACGGGTACCTCTCCGCACCTGGGCGCCCCGGGCGCCCCGCCCCCGCCCGGAGCCTTGCCTTCCGCCCGGAGCCTTGCCTTCCGCCCGGAGCCCCGCCTTCCGCCCGGAGCCCCGCCCGGAGCCCCGCCTTCCGCCCCGCAGCCCTATTCCCGGCTCCCATTGGCTGCGGAAGGAGGCGGCGAGCCAATACCCGCACACTTTAACGCCCTCCGCCTGGGATCACTTCCGCCGCCGGGCCAGGCCCCGCCCCGCTCGCCCGGCATCGCGGAGCGGCGGAATCAAGATGGAGGAGTATGCGCGCGAGCCTTGGTGAGCCAGCCCGCTGCCCGCCGCCTGCCCCTCTGCCACTGCCCGGCCCCCGGAGCGAGGCCGCTCTCAGCCGCGGGCTTGGCGGCGCCGGGGGCCGTGGGCACCCGGGCGTGAGCAGCCGGCTAGTCAGCGGGGGCCGCGGGGCCGCGCCGGGTGACCTTGCGGCAATTCGAGGGCGCCCCGGCTCGGCTGTGTGGCCCCGGCCCCTGCCCGGCCCGCGGGTCGGGAGCAGCCCCTCTGCCCGCCGGCGACCTTGGGCTCGTCCTTGCGCTCGGGCGGCTCGGCCTGCGTGGGGAGGGGGCGGTGCCCGGGGAGGGTCCGCGTGGGCGCGGCGGCGGCGGTCCGGGCTGGGGTTTCCCCGTGGGGGAGTGGCGGCGCGGTCGGGAAAACGGGGAGAGTAGCGTGTGTGAAAAGCCGGCGACGGGGGTCCGTTCATTCGGCATTTAGCGGGGGGTGGGGGTGGTCTGTGCCCCGCGCTCGGTCGGTCCCAGGAATGAAAGCATAGAGGAGTCAGGCACGCGCACAGTTTAGGGCTTCGGAGGTCATGAGTGAAAAATCACATCTTGTTTTTAATCACCTGTTAGTCACCTGTGTTTTTTGTAAGAGCAAGAACCAGGGTGTTTTCCAGCTGTGTGTAAGGGCCCAGGGCTTTACATTCTGACCTTCCAGTATTAGCCATATTGCCTGCTTTGTGCATTTTTTCCTCCCTGAAATAAGATACAGAGTATGTTTCAGCGCCTCCCAGCTCTTTAAATTTATCTTCTCCAAAGGTAGTGGTCCCCCTTCCTGGGTTGTGCTCAGGTGTGCAGGACCCAGCATGCTGTGCACTGCTGTTGTCACCTGCTCTTGGGTATGATATCGTGAAACAGGTTGGCATGAGGGGAAAATACTTGACTTTCTTGGGTTAAAGATGTTATGGGAATCATAAATTTTCATCTACTACTAAATTAGGTGGCCCCTTTGCTTTCTCAGTACATATGTCCTGAAGCAGTACAGTCAGTTGTCTGGTTGGTTTTATACTCAAAACTGCTTTGATCTTCTGGACTACCCTGTTTTCGTGAAGTCATCCGAGCTCCAACTATAAGCATCTTTCTCCTCCCTCTGCACCTGCCCCAACACCATAGGCAGCCTGAATTCTTTCAAACCTTCCACCTTTCATTTCTTGTTGTCAGGATCTTACTTGGCATCCTTAATGCCTTTTACAGTAGTTTCTTAATTGCTTTCCTTCTCTTCAGTCCTTTTTAATACATCATAGGCACTTAATCGTCCTAAATACTTTTTAATCATGTGTTTTGTTTTCAGAAGCCTTAGTCTATAGGATATAGTGGAAAGAATTTGGGGCCTGTGGCGTACTAGATTTTGTATTTAAATTGGTTCTACCAGTTATTACCTATTGACCTTGCGCAAGGTACTTAACCTGAGCTTCTGTTCATGTATATAATGGAGAGGAGACAGGGATACTCTTCTGCAAAGTTAAAAGATTAGGGAGTCTATAAGAAAATAAGCTAGCTTTCTTGAAAATCAGGTTATTTGCACTATAAGGCACCTAAAACATAGTTGATACTTAGTAAATGATAACTTTAATCTTGTGGTTAGTTATTGGTTCCCTGTTGCCCTGTATTTGTCTGGCATTTACATTAGAGTCTGGCTTCAACCTTCCTTTTGTGTAGCCGTCACTTCCCTGCAGGAACCTTGATTTAGCCAGACTTAGTTCAGAGACTGTTTGCATCTTGCCGTTGTTTTGGACGTCCCCTCTTGCAATCCTGCGGCTGCTCTCTGATCTGAATCCTGCTGTTCTTTACTGATTTTTTAAATACTCATTTTCATTCTAACTGATTATAGGATCATTTAGGATCGATTGTTTAGAGTTAGTGACTCTCCTTTGTCTTTCCTTTTTACTTTTTTTTTGGTCGCAGCACGCAGCTTGTGGGATCTTAGTTCCCCAACCATGGATCGAACCTGGGCCCCGGCAGTGAAAGCACCGAGTCTTAACCACTGGACCACCAGGGAATTCCCTATCTCTTTACTTCTATTAATGTTTCTACCATTTTGAAGAAATTTTCCTAATCCTTTTAGTCTCTCAGAGCACTGCTTCTCAAACTTTTAAAGTGAAATCAAGTCACCCGTGGATTGTGTTAAGCTGTAGACTCTGATTTAGTAGGTCCTGAGGGGGACCTCCCCAGAGCCTGCATTTGTAACGAGTTCCCAGGTGTTGCTGATTTTGCATTTAGGCCTGCAGGAAGCAAGCCTTGGGTAGCAAGGCCCCGAAGCCTCAGGCTGACAGCTGGAACATCTGCCGCATGAGATTGTCATTCTGTACAAACTCCTGATTTGTGTTAGACTTGGAAAGGACAAGGTGTTTCGTATTTCTGTCTGGCAAAGTGAGAAATTACTTCTTATTCGGATTCTTCAGCAGCAACGATGCGCTGAACTCACACGGTTACTTGAGCAGTTGGATTGTGCATAGGGTCGTTACAGCATTTTACCCTTGAGACTGGAAAAGACATTTATGAATTGAATTATTCACAGACTTGTTTTTGTTTTTTTTTCTTCTTTTGGCCATGCCGCGAGGCTTGCGGGATCTTAGTTCCCCAACCAAGGATCGAACCCGGGCCACCACAAGTGAAAGTGCTGAGTCCTAACCGCTGGACCGCCAGGGAATTCCCATTCGCAGACTTTTTAAGAAGCCAGATTCCTAGAAGAGTGGTTCTGTTCTACTGATCAGATTACTCATGTCGTCGTGCTGCATGAGTTAGGGTGCTGCATTTGGAAGCCGGGTTTACACATTTAACCTCTAATTATCAGATGTTAGAGGTTACTAATGTGTTAAGTGGATCTGATACAAACTTAAGTTCCAAGTGCTAACTTGGACTCAGTAAACCCAAAAAGAAGTTTTAAAATTTAAATAGTGTGTCTTCTTCTGCGCCTGTTGAAATTTTATTCTTTGGGTCTCAGCTTTAAATTTTGCTGCAGCTGGAGAGCTTTCCTTGGTCCCCCAGGCGACTGGGTCACCGTTGACTACTTGCCTTAGAATAGATGCACTAGTAGTTGAGCAAATGAATAAAGCGCTGTGAACAGTAGGGAGTTGAAGCCATTCAACTACAAGTTCATTCCCTGTAGCTTAGAAGACTTGGGCTGAATAGATGTGGATCTGTTTAGAATCCTTAATCTTTGTCTGTATTTTATGGGCCAGATGTTACTGGTTGCAGTGAGCCCTGCCCTGGAATCTGTTGTATATCCCTTATTAACAAAGAGGGTTTTATGGTTTATAAATGAGAAATACGCTCATCTTTTTTCTTTTTTTCTCCCTTTCCTGTTCTTAGCCCCTGGCGCATTGTGGACGACTGTGGTGGGGCCTTTACGATGGGAACCATAGGTGGTGGGATCTTTCAGGCAATCAAAGGTTTTCGCAATTCTCCGGTGGTAAGTGGGTGAATGGTCTCATATCATCATTACTTGAGACCCGTTTGCTAATGTCACTTGGGCCCCATCAGTGGGTTGGAAATGTGTTATACTCCTAATGTATTTTTGGTTGCTTCCTTTTGTTTCCTTATAGGGAGTAAACCACAGACTACGAGGGAGTCTGACAGCTGTTAGAACCAGGGCTCCACAGTTGGGAGGTAAGCAGAATGTTTCCACTTGTACTTCAGATGATTTTTTTCCTATTTTTTTGAAGATGAAATTCTGTTTTTTTTTTCTTCTTTTTTAGATTATACCAGTTAGTGATTTTAGTTTGGTCTAAATAACAGCTTGTCACAAGTTAGTATCTATGCGAATTCTTGATTTATGATTTATTTGGAAAGTTAACTTGAATTGTTGCATCCATTTGAAACTCTGTCCTTCAGAAGCTCAGTGCGGTTTTGTTTCTGCTTGGTTTCATTTGATTTTCTCCCGTTATCCAGACAGTGTGTCCACAGCTCAGGTTTGTGAGGGTCGGGAGTGATAGCTTCTGGGTTAGCATGAAACTGAAGAGGGTGTGAGCAGAAGGGTTGGGGTGTGTGAGAGGGACTGATGGAACTCATGGGGCTCCCTCCAGGTTTAGCTCTGGACATTGTGCCGAGGTCAGTGCGGAGGTGGAGAACGATTACGTCCATCACACTCTTTAAGCTTGGTAATTCGGAAGCTGGGAGAAGAGAGAAGAAGAAATCTGGTAGCTTATAGTTGCTTGCAAAGATACAGTCAGGCTGAAGAGGCCACATGTAACACATGGAATGGACTTAGCACGCTCAGTCGTTCCGTAGTGATTTTGTGCATCAGAAGAAATAATCTTCTTTGTTTTTATAGCATTTGTTTTCTTTAGAAGATAGTGGCCGATGTCTGTTGTTTATTCAGTGCCTGCCATGTGCCAGGCACTCCAGGTGTTTTACAGGATTATTTTATTTAGTCCTCACAGCAACATAGGAGGTGAGTACTATTATCTCCATTTTCCAGATGAGGAAATTGAGGCTCCGAGGGTTGAAGTGATGGTGTATCTGTTTCCTGTTTTTCTCCCTGTAATAATTGTACACCCTGGAAAGCAAACAGTGACTAATTTTCCTTTGTTTTAATGGTTACCGTGTTGTTTAAGAGTGATAAGTAGTAAAAAAAAAAAAAAAAAAAAAAAGTACACACCAAACCCTGAACCTTCGATAAATGCAGAAGTCATACAGGTTTTAACAGGTTTCTTGAGAGGCTGCTTCTATGACATGCATTTTCAGTGAATAAAAAAAAAATCAGGTAACTGTCACAGTCAAGAAGAGCCTAAGGAGATAAGACTACTAAATGTTACGAGGTGTCCCGGAACAGAACAAGGACATAAAAACTAAGGAAATCTGAATTAAGTATGGACGTCAGTTAATAATGTGTCAATATTGGGTTGCTGTGACAAATGCACGGTGCTGATGTTAGATGCTGGGGAGACTGAATGTGGGGTATGTGGGAACTGTACCATCTTCACAGCTTTGCTGTGACTCTGAAACTACTCTAAGAATAAAGGTTTGGTTAAAAAACAATCAGGGTGAAATAGAGGAAGAGTATGTTGTGGTGTGAGTGAATTGGAATCAGGCTTTTTAAGGAAACTACTGAGGCATCTTCATGGAGTCTTGAATTTTAAAAGTACTGGGATGGGCTTCTCTGGTGGCGCAGTGGTTGAGAGTCCGCCTGCCGATGCAGGGGACACAGGTTCGTGGCCGGGTCCGGGAAGATCCCACATGCCACGGAGCAGCTGGGCCCGTGAGCCACGGCCGCTGGGCCTGCGCGTCCGGAGCCTGTGCTCCGCAACGGGAGAGGCCACAGCGGTGAGAGGCCCGCGTACCACAAAAAAAAAAAAAAAAAAAAAAGTACTGGGATGGCACTTCCAGTTAATTCAGTGAGCGTTTACTGAGCTCTTCCAATCAGGCTCCTGGGAAAAAGGCAGTGTGGGAAAGTTATAGTTGTGTCCTGAAAGGTCTTGTATTTTCATAGCAGAAATAAGACATGCTTTTGATGTGTCCCCATTATGCTTCCAGCCCTTCCTTGCATTTTGGAACAAGATGTTCCAGGCTTATCTTGTACTTTCCCTGCCTGAGTGTAGAGTCATCCGTCCCCAAGGAGCCCTGCTTCCTTCTAGTTGAGAATGGTACTTAGAAGCCAAAGTCTGGGCACTAAGTGTATCATTGCTGTGGGGCATTGCTGTTCCCAGGCCGTCTTAGGAATGTACTGTATATCTATGAACACACACCACGTACACGTACATACACAAGTTTATATCTGTGTTTCTATATATCTATATGTATTAGGAATCATGGGATCACACTGATACCTCTAAGTCCAGTCCAGCCCCACAGGTTCATTCTTCTTTCACTTTTCATATGAATACTTGGGCTAGGGCACCTTGTAACAGGCCACCCTTCCACATGGGCACACTGATCTCCGTGCTTGGGAGTGTCCTTCCTGCGGACGCCTCCTCGCCCTGCTCCGGCTGTGGCTGCCCACACGGGGCCAGCCTTTTGTGTGGACTCAGTCTCCACTCTTATCAGCCACCATAGCTTACTCTGGCAGTCATTCTTGGGGTGGGCAGACATCAGATCCTTGTGAGGGAGTGGGAGAGCCTTGTTGGAGGAATTTGGTGAGATAATTCTAATATACCTGGACATATCTCTCTCCCAGGGCACAGAGCCACTGAGTTAGGACGGACTATTTCATCTGTATGTAGCATGTGGTATTTAGTGTTGGACCGAAAACGAGGAGGCTCATGCATAGTTTATTATTTTTTTTAAAACATATTTATTTGGCTCCTCCGAGTCTCAGTTGTGGCACGTGGGACGTTCGTTATGGCATGCAGGATCTTTTTAGTTGCGGCATGCGGGATCTTTTTCTTAGCTGCGGCACGCGGGATCTTTAGTTGTGGCATGCGGGATCTTTTTAGTTGCGGCATGCGGGATCTTTTTTTTTGTTGCGGCACGCGGGATCTTTGTTGCCGTTATGTGGGATCTTGAGTTGCGGCATGTGTGCGGGATCTACTTCCCTGACCAGGGATCGAACCTGGGCCCCCTGCGTTGGGAGCATGGAGTCTTAACCACTGGACCACCAGGGAAGTCCCTCGTGCATACTTTAACTGGTTGTATCTGCTGGATTTAACTCACAGGGTGAGCTCTGGGGAAGGGTGCTGGTGATGGCCTGGTTCAGGCAGTTGGCGGAACCCAGTTTATTGTCCTTATTGACACACTCCTGCTTCTGTGAGGTTTCAGAGGGTGAAGGATAACCTGACAAGGGCTCCTCAGTGCAGTTTTTCTTTCTTTAATCTTAATAAAAGAACTCCTCATAGAGTGTAAGTCATGTGTATTGATTTTAGAAGATTTGGAAAATAAAAGCACAAAGCAGTGAAGTCGTCTTGTTACCATCTGTCACCCGGAGACGCTGACAATTAAAATCTTGGTGTTGCCTTTCTGTGTTTTGTGTGTACTTATACACGTGTATGTGTGGGTGTTTGTTTTTTATTTCACAGAATAGTCACTGTGTTTAGGAAGAGTTTAAAGTGCAAAGTAATCTGATTTAGGGTTGCTTTTAGTTTCATGCTTGAGGAATGAAGGATAGAAATGAGAGAGGAAAGGTAATTCCCATTCCTTCGAGGTTCCATAATTCAGACTGTTTGTATCACCCTTTTGCCCTTTATGTGCATTGGCTTACGCCTGTAGTACATCCCAGAATAGCCCGGTTTCTTTTGTGTTCACATCGGTGATTTTCGTAGAGCAGGTGCTCAGTGGCACTGACTGAAGAAAAGAAAAATAGAGGTAAGGTGATGAGAAGAAGGAAGGATGACACTTCTTAAACAGATACACACTCTCCTGAAAGGGGGTTTGAATGGGTTTAGCCCAACTCTTTTAGGCCTGGCTTATTTCTTTTAGGCTTTGGGCCGTTGCTGATTTCCCTGCTGATGTAATACAAACCAAGCTTTATGAAAAAGATAAGTATTCTGACTCCTGTTCGGTGCTTATTCAAACTTGCTTGCATGTGTTTGTGAGAGTTTTAAGAATATAGTGAGTGTTGTTATTTAAGCTTGTTTCTGACTATTACATTTAAAGGCTAAAGTATAAAAACTGAAATTTATTTGTTTTGTTTTTAAATAAAACAGGCAGCTTTGCCGTTTGGGGAGGCCTGTTTTCCATGATTGACTGCAGTATGGTTCAAGTCAGAGGGAAAGAAGATCCCTGGAACTCCATCACGAGTGGTGCCTTAACAGGAGCCATCCTGGCAGCAAGAAGTAAGCAGGCATAGACACACATTGAAGCCGGCCTCTGCCTGCGTTTAGGAACATCTGTGATAGAGAGACGGAGCATTGTGTGACTTGGCGTAGTGTGAGTGTGTATGGTGATTTGGGGGGAGAGTAAAAGGATCTCTTAACTTGGAATGTTGAGGACGAGAGAGCCTGGAGCTCTAACCGGTAATCACCATGGTTAAGAGCAGTTCAGGTTCTGCTTCTGCCACTTACTAGCTGTGTAACTGGGCAGTTTCTCTCCTCAGCCTCTGGAATTAATCATTGTACCTGTCACACAGCATTGTTATGAGTGAAGAGCTTAGATCCATCTTCTGGGTCTTTGGGACAGAGAGCAACCTAGGATTCCTTGGGGCGTAGTGGGTGAGCCCAGGAGTCAGCACCCTCTTCTGTGAAGGGCCAGGTAGTAAATGTGTGGGCTTCCGTCACATGTACTCAGCTCTGCTGTCATGAGCGCAGCCTAGACAATACGTGAATGAACGCGCATGCTGTCCCAATACAGCTGTATTTCCACCAGCAGGCCGTGGGCTGGATTTGACCTGCGGGCCATGGTTTGCTGACCCTGGTCTTGGTCAGCGAGAAAGGGGGTTTGGGAACGGGGAGTAGCATGGAGCCCTATGGACAGGTCTTTGCTCTGTGGTGTCTTACATTAACCTGGATTTCTGTTAAAGTAATCTCTCTGTTCTCAATGTGCTCAGACGGACCAGTGGCCATGGTTGGGTCAGCCGCGATGGGTGGCATTCTGCTAGCTCTCATCGAAGGAGCTGGTATCTTGTTGACAAGATTTGCCTCTGCCCAGTTTCCCAACGGTGAGTCGTCTTTCTGCCTGACACCGCGGCTCAGACGTTTGAAGTGGTTTCCCGATGTCTGCTCAAATGTGGCAGTTTGACATCTCTGCATCACACGTGAATACGCCATGCTTCGTGCTGGTTCTGCCTCCGCACGGGTGTGGGTGCCGTTAGTTGTGTGTTTCATCTCAGTAACAGAATGCTTTGGCCGATGACTTGCTGTCGATCTTTCCTTAGAGTTCTTAGGTTTTATCAGTGCTCACTTGCTCATTCTAAGAAATTGCCGCTCATTTCAGCGGTGCGGGAAGAAGGGTCCCTGCAGACGTGGAACAACGATGGCCGTCAGTCGCCAGCTTATTACTGCCTGTGTGTGGGGCACCGCTCTAGCTGCCGGGGGCAGTGGGAGCATCAGGCTGACACGCTCACAGATAAATGAGGTCATCTGGTTGTGCTGCTTCCTTGAAGAGAGTGAAGTAGCAGGAGAAGGTGACCCGTGGTTGGGGCTCACTTAGGGCTGGAAGGAGGGTTCTTCTGAGACGTTGGTGATGTAACGCGTTGCTCCTGTTGCTCCTGCCTGGTGCAGGGAAGGTGAGATGCTGGGCGGTTAGTGGTCCACGGGTGGTCACGACGTGGCCAGGGAACGTCTGCTCTGCGGCTAGCGTGCGCAGATGCTTGTAACTTAGGAAACTTGAGCTGTCTAAACGGGACTGTTCCTTGGCATTGGAAGGGAGCAGAAAGACACCGAGGGTCGTCATGGGGAAGAGCTGACCCGGCGTTTGGGGAAGGAAGTACGCAGAACGGTGTGACTGGTTGGAGGTCAGTTTTGGAGCTTGGAAAGGATTCGGCATAGAGTGAGGGACAGGTGACAGCTCCTGATTCGATTTGATTTCCCTGAGGCACCAGGCGAGGGATTCGGTGTCTTTTGGGCGTGGTTCTGAGGCCTGCTCCCTGTGGCCAGTGGATGACCCGGTTGGCTCCTGGGCCCTCGGTCCTTGCCTCTGCTTCCAATCATTATTTCTCACTGAATACTCTGTTGTGATGGCCACTTTCTTATTTTGCTTTTTAGTTTAGCACTTCAGTGTGAAAGACTTCACATAAGATGTGAGAAAAGTTCCGTGTTTGCAGAAATTCAGAAATTGATAGAACAATAACTCGGTCACACTGTCTTGTAGGATTTAGCCTTGTTTGCTGGGGTTTCGGCTTCTTTCCTTGGAAGGAGTTCTCTAAAAGAAGTGCTTTTTATTTTAGACAGGAGGAGTGTTTCCGAAAGGCTATGTGGGGGCAAAAATCTTTGAAAAGTTAATCATATTTTTCCAGTTAACTTACATGAAAGAGTTCTTAAAACAGAAAGATGAGATAAAACTGTATCGAAATGGTAACAGTGGTTATTTTTGGTTTATCTTTTTCACCCAGTGTCTTCTCCAGCTTTCTGTAATGAACAGATATTTTTAGAATATAAAAAAAAAAATCACTGGAGTAAAGTGTTGGAAAGAAAGCCCTCTTTACCACTGTCCTCTTTCTCTCTTCCTTCCAGATATTTTTTAGTCTGCCTCAGTTTCCCTGAAGAAAAGAGGAGTGATTATTCCCATTAAAGTCTTTTTTTTAAAGGGCCACATTTTTTCTTAGGTCACAGGCCGTCCCATCCTTTGAAAGCAAATACTACAACACGTAGTTCTGCGCAAGCTAGGGGATGGCGATGTCTTCCCATTTCAGGGCCCACTGCTTACCTACTTGTGTAAATTGTACTACTGAGTTCTCTTGAAACGTGACTAAGGTACTTAAACTTCGTGAAAATAATTTTAAATAGCCACTGACAGATACATCAGGAGGTGTGAGAGATTCGTCCAGTCCTGATACGGCAGCTTGTTCAGCAGTTGCGCTAAAACTGGCGTGTTGTTTCTTGCCATAACTACTCCATGTGACTGCGCTGGCGTAGCATTTGAGAGCTGCTCGTTCTGGAGGAGGGCCGCCCGGCCGCCGGACGTTAGCACGCGCTCTCGTGGGAATCGGGCAGCTCGATAAAGAAATTCAGGTTACAGCTCTGATGTAGCACTTTGTTATCTGAGCTGACTGATTTGCTCTTTACAGAGACTTGTCCCTTTAAATTACATAATATTCAGGTGGTGTTTAAATTCCCTCTTAATTGCAGGTCCTCCGCTTGCTGAAGACCCCTCCCAGTTGCCTTCAGCCCAGCTACCATCCTCACCTTTCGGGGACTACCAGCAATACCAGTAGGGCCTCTCTCCCAGGACTTCTGTAACAGAGTGAGCTGCGGTTCAAGGAAGGATTTCAGAAGATCAAATTCAGTCTGTTTTTAAAACTGTAGGTGGGACAACTATGGCCAAATAGGCTGTGAAGAGACATTTAGCACATTTTTCTATTTAAAGGAACATGGGGGGGGCGGGGGAGGGTCTTAAAAGATAATACATTTATTTATTCACACTTGGATTGCGTTTGTGATCAAAATAAATGTCTGAAATCTTTAGAAGGAAAAGCAGCAAGTGCTTGGAAGATGAAGGACCAGCGGCAAACGGCAATGAAGCATGACCATCATTTCCTCGGGGACCTCTCTGCCTGGTTTTGTTCTGTTAGTCAAACAATAAAAAACGCCAGGAGATTGCTCTTTCTATTAAGATAAGTTGCAGAGTTCTACTTTTCATACTTGAATTCAAATAACGCAGAGTCCGTTGAAAGTTGCACGTGGTACAGTCTCCAGGGATTGGTCCACAGCAAACACTTCCGGGCTGGAGGGCTGCGGGAAAGTGCTTAGCCTTCTCCTTGCGAGTAAAAAACACGCCACGTCTTGGTTTCGAGGGTGTCAGATACAAAACTCTCTTCACCTCTGAGGCTCCTGTGTCTTGATTCTTCATCATCAGAAAAGCTTCCTTCCGGTATACCCAGTTCCGTATGAGAAGGTTCCTGGAGGGCGTAATAGCCCTGGAAAAGTTTGGCGGTTATGGTGTGCTGGCAAGTACAATACATGCTGTTTTTCATGTGTTGCAAGTCCCCTGAAGCTGATCTTCGTCGAGGGTGTGTTTTGGGGTCTGGCCGGGCCTGGAAAATGGATTAGCATTTCGGAATAGGCCATTTTACTGGCTGTGCTGGAAATGCCATGCGGCCTTACGGGAGGCAGGCTGTTACTCCCCGTTTACCTGCCTCTTTGTGAAACGGAGAGCAAATCCGTGTGGGTGTGGTGAGCACATGCATGTTCTGGCCCAATGCCACGTACATAGTAAGCATTTAATTTACTAATGCTGGTTTGATCTTTCTTTGTGTGGTAAAATATACAGGAAATCATATTTATCGTTTTAACCATCTGTAAGTGTACAGTTAGTGGAATTTACATACAGTGTAACAGTCACCATCGTGTATCCCAAAACTTCCTCATCGTCACCAACAGAAACTCCCCATCCCACCTTCCCCCAGCTCCTGGTAACCACAGGTCTGCTTGCTGCGTCTGAGTTTGCCTATTCTGGGTACCTCGTGTAAGTGGAACCGTACGATACTCGCCTTCTGCGTCGCTCTTGTTTCGTGGAGCGTCGTGTTTCAAGGTCCATCCGTGGTGCAGCATAAGCCAACACTTCGTGCGACGGCTGAGTAATACTGCATGGTGTGCAGAGGTCGCATTCTATTTGTCCATTCCTCCACTGGTGGACACTTGGGCTGTTTACACCGCGTGACTCTTGTGAATAACATGGGCATACAAATACCTGTTTGAGTCGCTGCTTTCAGTTCCTTTGGGTGTAGACCTAGGAGTGGCGTTGCTGGGGCATGTGGTAGTTCTATGTTTAACTTTTGGAAGAAGCACCAAACTTTTCCACAGCGCTGCACCGTTTGACATTTCCACCAGCAGTGCACGAAGGTTCCCGTTTTTCCACATCCTTGCCGACACTTTTATTTTCCTTTAAATAAAAAGATTATAGCCAGTCTAGCATGTGTGACTATCTCACTGTGGTTCTGATTTGCGTTCTCCTGGTGACGACGTACTGCGCTTATTGGCCATTTGTGAGTATTTGGGATTTGTCTTTCAGTCTGTAGCTCTTTTGACTTCCAGGAGTAAATGTAAGGAGATGTTATAAGAACAGTTCAAAGCTGAGGGCATGTTGAATCGCAGATAAAATGCTTTACATTTCTTAAGTTCTCCTAAACGTCCTCTTAAATGGCTTATTGGTTTGGAAAGTAAGTTCCTTTCTTGGGAATTCGGAGTCTGTGGCGGGTGTGTGTATGTGATGCTGGCGTGTTTTTGCCATTTTATTGGTTAACTCAGCATATCTGAAGCAATCCTTGGTTACAGATGAATTTTCTGGAATTTTCTGGAGGGGTGGGGGGGGAGAGAAGAAGCTTGAAAAAGATGGAAAGCCATTTCTTTTTGAAGAACTTGACATTTAATTCCACAATATGTGGGACGGCAGGTAGAAACCCCGAAAACCTTTCCAGTTGTTTCCCTGCTTCTTGGCCCTCTCCTCCTTGGTGGATGCCCCCTTCCTCCGTCCCGCACTTAGGAGAGCTGCTGCTCCCGCGGAAAGCCTGGCTGCCCACCTACCTGCTGGGGCTTGGCCTGAGCGGAGTGGCTCCGTCTCCGTGATGTGTCTAGCGTGGAGATGGGGGGGCCGGTGAGGAGAGGGAAAGGGGAAAGCAAACTTCACGCCTCTGATTTTCTACTGGAAGCCTCGTGCCATCTGCGTTTCCGGTCACAGGTGTTTCATAACCGCCCAAGAACGTCCTCGTGTGCTGTGTCCTCTGCCTGCCCCCGTTTGTCCAGCGGGCTGGTTCCTGGTGGTCTGGGGACCAGCTCGAGCGCCCCTGCAGCCTCCCGTCCCCTCTCCGTGTTCTGTTGTCACTGCACAGCGGGAGGAGGTGCTGAGCGGTTTGTTTTGTTTTGTTTTGTTTTCTCTCCCCCACCTTTTCCCCCAACATTTTTTCAATGAAAATATCAAAACTGTAAAGTTGAGGTTCACAGTGAACATACATATACCCATCACCTAGATTCTATGATTAACTTTACAATACTTTACCATTGTGTACCTGTTCACCTATCACCCGTTTCCTAATAAAATTGAAATTTATGAAATCCATTGATAAGCTCTGTAAGATGTGATTTAAAAATTTTTTTTATTGGAGTATAGTTGATTTACAATGTGTTTCAGGTGTGCAGGAAAATGAATCAGTTATACATAGATTTTTTTTTTAAGTTTAGCAAATGATAGAAACCAGGTAGTTTAGATTCTAATAAATATCTTAAAATACCTATTTTGAGATGTTTAATACATATTCTAAAACTAATTTTGGTGTACAAGAACCCAGAATAAAAGGTAAAATCACGAAAATTGTTTTAATTACCAAGATAAATGCAGAAACAAGCAGACAGGAAGGAATTTTTCCCTAGGTCTTTTTCTGGAATAATGGAGTGGTTTCCTCGGTTTCAAGGTTGAAATGCTCATCAGAAAGATCCCATCTGCTTCTCCCTTTTTTCCTTAGTATCTGACACTTGGTGTGAAATTGGCCTGAAATAGTGAATTTCTGAGTCAGGGTTGGAACGCGTGGGTTACAGCTGCATCTGTTGAAAGCCCGTCTGTTTTCTTATATGAGATGTCTGCAGATTGTGACGGCGTGGTCACAGCTCCACCCGGTGGTGCATTAGTTTTAGAACACAATACTCTTGCTGCTGGTTTTGCTTTGTACAGTACGTTATCTTTTAGAGCAAAAGTCAGCCACCTAAGGCTCAAGGGCCACATTTACCCTGCTGCCTCTTTTTGTAAGGCCTGTGACTGAAGAATGGATTTAAAGTTTTTCTAATGGTTGAAAAACAATCAAAAGAAGAAAAATGTTTCATGGCACGTGGAAATGACACGAAATGAAGATTCCGGCGTCCATAAATAACAGTTCTGTTGGTGCACAGCCACACCAGGTCTTCACGTTTTATGAGCGACTGCCCTCATACGACACAGCAGAGTTAAGCGGCCGCGTCAGAGACCTCGGGGCACACAACTCCTGAGATGTTTGCCCTTTAGAGAAAAAAAAATTGCTGACCTCTGTTTTAGAGCAATTAAAAATAAAAAGATTTATTTTATCTAAACTGATTCCATTTCTAGCACTCCTTCTTTTCTCTGTGTGGACCCAAGTTCCTCTCTGGTATCATAGTCCTGTCTCAGGAGCGTCCTCTAACATTTCTTATGGGGTAGGATTATATGGGTGGATCCAGATGGATGCCTAGGGATGTAGTGGGTGGCATGATAGGAGAGGAGCTTTTATAAAAAGCTCTTTATGCCCTGAGCTTTTATAGTGGGCAGTAGCATTCCTGCTTTTGCCTCTGAGGGAGACATTACCTTTATCATACTAGATAGCGTGACTTCCCTTTGCTCCAAAGCAAGACCCCGTCTCTGTCTTGGAAAGGTGTAAGCCAGTTTACCAGCCTTACCACTGTGGACGTTTGGGGCTGGATAATCAGTTGTGGGGACCTGTCCTGTGCAATGTAGGATGTAGGATCTCTGGCCTCTGCCCACTGGATGCCAGCAGCACCTCCTCTCCCAGTTGTAGCCACCAAATGTGTCTCTAGATGTTGTCGAATATCTCCTAGTGGGCAAAACTGGCCCTGGTTGAGAACCATTATGATAAGCAGATTCACCCTTTGCTCCAGAGGAAGTCACCATCTGTCTTTCAGAGTGGCTCTCTATACAAGCATCCTCGACCAGATGGTCCAGAACAAAGGACACTCAGCGGCTCATTTTTGCAAGATGTGCAGAAGTGCACGTGATCCGTGGAGAATTGGCTCCCAACGTTGCTTTTAACTTAATTACATTGCGGTTAAAGGAATGTTGTTCTGTGTGCCATCGATTCTTTTATTTGTTGGGAGTTTTTCATGGCCTATCTATGGTTTTGTGTGTTTTCTCTGATTGTTAGGTGCACAGTTTGGTGTGTGTTGATTAGGTCAAGATTGTGACATTTTTGTACAGATCTTTTATGTCTGTATGACTTTTGTCTGTGTGATCTGTTAATGACTGGGAGAGGTACGTAAGCCTCTCTGTTGGCGGACTTGCCCATTTCCCTTGTAATTCTGTTACCTTCTACTTTCTGTAGTTCGAGGCCATACTGTTAGGTGCATCCCCAATGTGTGAGCTAGAACACTGATAAGTAGTTTACGTCTGGGTATTTATGAGCTCTGCTTCCTCCAGCCTGGGGTGAGTACTGTCCTGTCCAGCTCATTTCCTTTTCTTCCTTGATTTTTAAAAATCATACTACATATTTTCCCATTTGTTGGCTTGTGAGTTATATTCATTTTATAGTCCATAAGTGATTTTCTTTAAAATCTTAAAACACATACCTAAGAAAAAAATCTCACATTTATCCCTCTCCTCCTGATAATCCAGGGAGTTTAGAATGCTTCAACTTCAATCACCCCCTCTTCTTATATACATTTAGTCTAATATTTTCATTTTATTCTGATTCCCTCATGCAAACATGATTAATATATATTTATTATTGTTGCTTTATACAGTGTTTAAATTCTCTCACTTTTTTTGCTCACCATTCCTTTTTTCATCTCATTTTCCTTCTTGAAGTAATTCCTTTAGAAGTTCTTTAGTAGGAGTCTGTTGATGGTGAACACTGAATTTTTGTCATCAGAAAATTTACTTGCCTTCCTTCTTGGACGATAGTCGGGTACAGTTCTAAGTTGACAGGGTTTTTCTCAGTGTTTTGAAGATAATGCCTTCTGGCCTCTCGTTGCTAATGAGAGGTCTGCCCTTGGTCCAATTTCCATTTGTCATTTTTTTATAAGTAACCTGTCTTTTTTTCTTTGGGTCTTCTTAAGACCTGTATGTCTTGGTCTTCCTCAGTTTAACTAAAACACGTCTAGGTGTAGGTTTATTTTTATATTTTTGCTTGCAATTTGTTGTAACTTTTAAATCCTTAGAATCACACTTTAATCAATTCTAGAAGATTCTCAGCCATTATTTCAAAATGTCCAAGATACGTTGCATTCTAAGCATTCAAAAGTGAGGGAAGGAGAAAAGGAAGGAAGGAAGGAGAATGGATGGGATGAGACTGCTCTTATCCCCAGGGAGAAGTTAACGCTGAAAGGAGAAACAGCATAGTTCCACAAATGGTTGACTCTACAGCCAAGGATAAAAGGCCCTCAGGACTTCCTTGGTGGTGCAGTGATTAAGAATGTGCCTGCCAATGCAGGGGACACGGGTTCGAGCCCTGGTCCGGGAAGATCCCACATGCCGTGGAGCAACTAAGCCCCGTGTGCCACAACTACTGAAGCCCGCGCCTAGAGCCCGTGCTCCGCAACAAGAGAAGCCACCGCAATGAGAAGCCCGCGCATGGCAACAAAGAGTAGCCCCTGCTCGCCGCAACTAGAGAAAGCCCGCACGCAGCAGTGAAGACCCCACACAGCCAAAAATAAATAAATAAATAAATAAATTTATGAAAAAAAAAGGATAAAAGGCCCTCCTCCTCCAGCAACACTTACCTGGAAACATCAGGCCCGGTGTCTCTCCTTGCTTCCCGTAGCATCTTGTTCTTCCCAGGTCACAGCACAGCACATGGAGTTGTCGTGACCTTCGTCCTTGTCTCTAGGTTAAGTTGTGAGCCGGCCCGTGAGCACCACCAGGACAGGGGCGGTGCCAGGCTTGCTTCGGTTGTATCCGCAGCACCCAGCCCAGTGGCTGGTGTATGCAGATGCTCAACAGAACCGCATTGCGTAAGGAAACGAATAATTTGAGGGTAGCTATATTGAATGACTAGTAAGTACCAAGTACTGTGCTCAATGCCACGGAAAAGTGGTTTTCCAAAGTTGTTGGATTTCACTAGCCAGTAAGTTAAAAAAAAAAAGAAAAGAAAAAAAACTAACATTGACCTTATATGGAATTTAAAAATATATACTATAAGCATTTCATGAAATAAAATGTATTTTAACAGTGTAAAACTAGGAAGAACATACTAGGATACTATTTCCTTTTATGAAAAACTCCCTACATTGTCTCTTAAAATTTCATTTCCTAGCTGATCCATAAAAATCTCACCGTCCAGTGGCTCCTAGTCACAGAAGGGCTACTGCAACCGCTGGTACAGGAGAGAAACACAGCAGGAATTGTGTGTACCTGGCTCAAAGAGCTGTCCCATTCAGGAGTGGGGGACAAGCGGCACAGCAGACGCCCAGCCTTAAAGGTGCAGTGCCTCTCCCCATCCCTTGGCGGAAGGACAAAGGACTCGCGCGCCCGGAGTCCCGGGAGGACCCCCATCGGCGTGGTATCCCGTGCTGTTTCCGATTGAGCTCTCACAGCTAGCTCGAGAGATGCTATAATTCCTTCTGTTTTACAGGTACACAGGGAGACTCGGAAAGAGTCCCCTTTCTTGGGGGAGGTTTGACACGGCCCAGGATGACACGGCCCTAATAATTGGGCGAGCGTCGAGCTTGCGACCTCCAACCCGGACCCTTGCAATCGTGCTCAGTGCGGCCTGCCTGGAGGAGTAGGACACGGGAAACCTCAGTAGAGAAGGGACTGGGGAACATCCCAGTGGGATGAATTCGGGCCAAGGTGGATCAAATTGTACCCCCCCACCCCCACCCGCACGCCTGTCGGAAGTCCTGAGACGCCGGTGCAGAGCTGGGAGTGGGGGAAAGTCAAGAAGAGAGGCGTGGCCCGGCCGCGTTCCGGGGCGGGGTCTGCACGGTGGGGCGGGGCCGGCGGCAGGGTCCGGGTGCGGCTGTACCGGGGCCTTGGCAATCGGCGGGGCGTGGTCAGCGCTGCGGGGCGTGGTCTGAGCTTTGTGGCTTGGTCATGCCGGTTCCGGGCGTGGTCTGAGGAGCGGGGCCTGCACCAGTGCACGGGGGCCATGGCGAACGGCGGGGCGTAGTCTGAGCTTTGGGGCGTGGCCATGCTGAGTGCCGGGGCGAGCCCAGCGCTGCCTGTTGGGGCCCACTCGGGTGAGCTGCAGAAGCTCCGGGGACCACGACAAGCGGCGGGGCGGGGCCTGCGCGGCGGGGCGGGGCCTGCGGCGGCCCGGTCCAGCGGCGGCGCGGGGCCATGGCGGGCAGCGGGCGTGGGGCCGGCGGGCGGGTGCTGCACTC